AGGAGGGAAAAGAAGAGAGAATGTATTTTCCGTAGAAGGAATGGGTGAATGCCAAATTTTTTATTCTTCATTCAAATGCCAGGAGTTTCCTATTGTACCCTATGTAAGTAGTATACCCCCTATACATACAGGGTACAGTATTTAAATGATCTTATTTATCAAATTCAGAGTTTAGCTTGAGAGCAATAATCTCTGTTTAATCAGCTTCTCCCCCTATCCCATGTCCACCAACACAATAGGTCATCTGACCCACTCATTTGGCTCTTATAATTAAATGAGCTCTAAAAATGTAAGGTATTTTTGCTGTTGGAGGCCACAGGAGGCATATGTTAATTAACATTTTTATGTCTTGGCTAACGTTTAGGGCTATTGTTTTGTTTGTCCCTAAGAAAAATTTTCAAAATGTGCAATGGGAACAAAACATTTTGTATTGGAACATTACAAACTTCCCCAGTAAACTGGAAATATAGAGTTAATCTTATTTAGTCAGAACATACAAATGGATCAAAAATGTGCTTTTTCATTCATAAGAGTGATTTCGTGCTTTAAAACCCCTCACGACAATTGAAAATTTATAATAGAATTAATTGGCATGTCTTTCAGAAATCAGAATGAATTAAATTAAGTAGAACAAGTATTTGTAGAATGGATTTGTACCCCTGTCTAGGGCAGGCATGATGGGGTTACCTGTAGAGAAGGATCTCCCTGCCCTCAGAAAGCATATTTTCCAGCTGGGGCAGACCATACTAACGTAGGTAAAACACTAGACTATTGGGTGCAGAGGGGCAGAGTAAAAATGATAAGCACTTAGACTTTCAGCCCTGGAAGGATGGATCAGCTGGATTTGCAGAAGTTGAGAAAGGCTTACAGAAGAGAAGTGTCTTAGTCTAGTCAGGCTGCTATAACAAAAATACTGTAGGCCAAGTGGCTTAAACAACATTTATTTTTCACAGTTCTGGAAGCTGGGAAGTTCAAAATCAAGGCACCCACAAATTTGGTATCTGATGAGGGTTCTCTTCCTCTTCCTAGATAGCCATTTTCTTGCTATGTTTTTGCACTGGGGAAAAGGGGCAAGGGCACTCTCTGGGGCCTCTTTTATTAAGGCATGAATCCCAAGAGGGCAGAGCCCTTGTGACCTAATGACCTCCCAAAGGCCCCACCTCCTAATACCATCACCTTGGGGGTTAGGATTTCAACTTATGAATTTTGGGCGAAAACAAGCATTCAGTCCAAAACAAGTAGGGACTTGGATGGCCTTCTGATTTTGGATGGACAGGAAAGAGAGGGGAGGGCATCTTAGGCAAGGGAAACAAAGGAAGGCAGAGCCAGCCAGCAGAAGTGGGAAATAAAGGCCTGACTAGGATAAAGGGTTTGTGTTTGGCGATGGAGAAAGACAGGTCAGTTCAATGGGTGGAACAAGGTTGTGGGAGAATCTGGAGGCTCCTGGAGAGGAATTTAGAGTGCATTCTTTGATGTAGACCATGGGGAGCCATTGTGGGTTCTTGAGCAGAGGTGTATCATGATATTTAAGAGAAAGTAATTTCTCTTGTGCCTTGAAAGGTAGTGCCAAGGAATTCTATTAGCTGTTTTTCCTATTGTGGTTTTTTTTTCTTTGTATATCCCAGTCTCCTCCTTATTTACTATTTACTGCTCAAGTCTGCTTCGGGTGGCACATTCTCACATCCATCTCTCGTACTTCCAGCTTCTAATGACTGTGAGGGCAGAACCAAGGGTGGGGTGGAAATTCACCCGGAATGCCATCCAGTGCTGGAGGACCCTGAGAGACCAGGAAAGCAGGAATCTCATAGCCCAGGGCCTTTGGCTGCACTCACAGAGGTGTAGTTTCTCTGATTTGGCACAACGCTGCCTCTGCCCTCCCAGAGTGAGCAGGATTCACTGAAACCATGCAAGTCACCATGAACTGTTCCTGTGAACGTGCACTTGTGGAGTGCTCGTGTAGAAGCCCCCCTAAGCAGCAGCTGTCCATGGGATGCATTTTATGTCCTAATTACCCATTACTCTCATACTTCAAACCACTTAACTGTTTTCTTCTACAGTCTGACTTAAGACATGTTTGAGGCCAGGCCTCCAAGAAGGGTATTCTTTCCACATGTAATTTTCTCACCTATACCTCTACACAATTAAGTCTGTATGCTTCCCACCACCCTTTTTGTAATTTTTTTAAAGAGAGTAATATAGAGGCAAGGAAAGTAAGCATTTTCATTTTTGGATGTTCCCAAACCCATTAATTAATTTTGAAAAAGTAAAATGCATCTAACCTGATGGAATATTTATAAGAATTTGAAGTTCATTGTCAACTGAATAGCATTTATTTAATCTAGTATTAGACTGCCTTGTTTTTTAACCAGATGGAAAACATTAGCAGTAATAGTGAACAAACATCTAGGCTCCCAGAGGTCATTTTTAACCACCATTAACAATCTGGTTTTCATAGATTAGTAATATACAAAAGGCAACAGTCCAGTAAAAGATACACAAAAGGCAGCTGAAGCTTCTGTGCTCTTTATTTACCTAACATTTATCCATTTTTAAAAACCCTTTGAAAGTGAGACATTTGAAACTTCTAAGCTCATAACTGGCAGATTTTACCCAGAAGTGGGAGTAAAATATCTGTTTGAAATAGACATTGATACAAGATATTAATAAAACCTCCACAAAGCTGATGAAAAGCTCATTATTAATGTCATCAGTAGATTTGCCTATGGTTAACATAGTTTCCATTTACTTGTTACTTGTTTGGTGGTTTCATACCTATGTAAAGCTACTAATTGGGAATTGGAAAAGAAATTTTTACGTATCAAATTTTAATTTTGAAGTTTAATTACCTAATTGAAACGTAATATAAGATAAACAGTCCACAAAACATACGAATGAGTCAAAAAGAATCTGGTCTATAATGTTATAAGAACTAGAAATTCTAGAATTGCCTATTCAGGAATAGACCATCTCATGTAAATCATGTTTTGAGTGGTTCAGAAAGTTGTACAGTCCTGTTATGCTCTGTAGATGAATGCATAGATATATGCATGCTTGTTTCTTCTCTTGTTCAGAATCAATATTGTAAATGAGTATGAAACTTCTATGCATTTAACTGGTTAACTGAGACTAGGCAAAACTGTACATAACATATATTCATCCTCATTTCAAAACCCTTGTTCTTGGTTTACATATTAATGATTCGTTATCAATTTTCATGTTATTCTTCCTTTAAATAATAGTATTTTTTAGGAAATATATTGAGGTCTATGTTTAAAATGTTTCACAGATAGTTCCTCATTATGTTCTTATTACATGGAGAAGAAAGCCAAGGCATCAAGGTTCAAGAGTACACCTGAGCCTGTAGAGAGAGGTCACATCCAAGATGAGAATGGGAATGAGGTAGTGCAAATATGATCTAGATATTAGAGAAAATGCCTACCACTAAGGAACTTAGGAATGCCAAGAGTATCATTAGGCTCCTTCCCCTATTTATGCATAAGTTCTGGAATATTTGTATATGTGTATATTTGCATATATGTGTTTACATACACACACACGCATGTGTGCACACACACACGTGCACACACACACATACTCTTGTCAGCACCACGCTCAGCCAGTGAGCAAACCGGCCATCCCTATATGGGATCCGAACCCGGGGCCTTGGTGTTATCAGCACCACACTCTCCCGAGTGAGCCACGGGCCTTGACCGTCATCAAATGAAATGCGGAATTGCCAATTATAATATCATGTTGCAGAATTGACATAATATCATGTCAAGGATTTTCCTGTCTGTCCATGATACTATGGGTTGCTGCTTTGGGAAGAAATACTGTTTCCCTCCTTGCAGAGATTTTTACCTCGACAATGAAATCTCCCAGTATTCCTACAAGTGCCTGGGGCCATTATATTCCAATTCTTGCTGAGGGAAATAAATGAATACTAAGGATGGAATTGAAATGATGAATTCTGGCTCATATCATAATTTAGAATGTACAACTCCTGGGGTCCCTTTGAGTAACAACTAAAGACACTTCACTGAGTGCCTATGATGTGTCCAGCACTGTGCTAGGCACTGGCCATACCGAAAAGACAGAGCCCCTGTCTTTTGGTCTAATGGTTGAGGAGGGGAGTAAGCAGATCACACTGTGCCCAAGGTGCTCTGAGGATGCAGAGGAGGGGTCTAAGCCCAAGTGACAGGAGGGGGGTCCATGAAAGGTCAGAGCACCTTTGTCTGTACTGCCACACCTCTCTAGCAGAAACAGAAAGCTTATTTCAATTATGTGGATATTCTGATATCAGACTGAAATTTGAAAAAATTCCTGATTAACTAACTGAATGATTGGATTTCTTTGGTTTATTTTAAATTTCTAGATTATGTAGACTCAATTTATGACTATAGATAAATACATTTTCTTAGCTTGCCATCATTCTAGTTAGCACATAAGCAAAACAGGTGAGAACAACAATCTAAACTTTATCCACAATATAGTTTTTAATGGTCAAAGAGAAGTTAAGAGACTATCAGCAAGCAAGTAAATATTTACAAACTAATGTAAGAGAACTTATTTCACATCTCCATTTTAAGTTGTTTTTTTTTTTTAAAAAAAAACCTATCAGTTATTAGGAAACACCTCCAGGCTAATAAATTCTCTTGGAAGGACAACCAAAGCCTCCTCCCACTTCTTTTTCATTGCCCCACATTTTGGTGGCCCAAGAAGGCTGGGGGCTCCTGCTTGTGGGGTCTTGAGGGCCTTCTAGTTGAACCAGGCTTCCTCACCTCAAGGACGAGAGGGACTCTGATTGGATTTCTACTAGAAATCTTGCCTGTCCAGCCTCCTCTTTTGCTCAATGTAGCAGTTACCATTTTTGTGAAAGATGGATAATGGTGGGGGGCCAGGAGAGGGGCTAGTGCAGGAATCTGCTTTCGTGGAGGAACTGCCATCCGCAGGCCAGGCAGGCCATGCCCTCATTTTCTGTAGCTCCCTCCATGGTCTAGGGGGACCATGTACACAAATAATTGAGGACAACATTTGCTTCTAAGGACTTCTGATTTCAGGTTAGAGTAAATAAGCTCTCTTGTGGATATTAAAAGAAAACAAAAAAGGGAAAACTTTCAGAAAATTGCCTACACAAAGCTAACAATATTTTTCCTCCTTTTTTTAAGGTGAACACACTCAAGAAGCCAATTCACCTCATTCACTCAAAAAGGATGTGGAAAATATGGGGAAAGGTAAAGAAAAGTTTAATTCTGTAGAACTTCTCTTAGCTTTAAAAACTATGGAGATAATTGGAGGATATTTTTGTTCTGTGCCATATTTTAAGCTTGACAAGCAACATATGAATAATATATGGACCATTGGGTGGATATAATTGAGATTAATGCATACATATCAATCAATACATGACACTATAATACAATACTTTAAAATAATATATTACATTGATTTATATTCATGGATTTCTGCACAAAATCTATCCTATGTCTATGCAACACTTTTTAAACTGGTAAAATATTTTGTCTTATAATAATAAATTGCCATATATAACAGTTCTCTGGAGAGTTATTTGTAAAGATTAGTAAAATGACTTTTTTTTTATTAGAAGAACTTCAGAAGGTTTTATTTGAACAAATAGATTTACGAAGACGACTAGAACAAGAATTCCAAGTGTTAAAAGGAAACACATCTTTCCCAGTATTCAGTAAGAAATCACTTTTATTTTATTGCATTTGTGATGATTGATTACATTTCTATTATTAGGCTTAAGAATATGATTCTAAGTCTGTCTAAATATTTATAAATTTTAGTCTTTCTTATTTATGCTTTGGCTCAACTCACAGATAAATTTTTCTACAAGAATATTTTGGTATTAATTTATTGATATATGTGTGTCTGTATTATATATTTTAAAATAAGTGTGTAAATATGTAATTAAATATGTAGATATATTTAATTATTCAGATATATTTAGATTACACATTTTAAAATAAAAGAACTACTCAGGTATTTATATACTCTAAGGCAGTAAAAACAAAAGAATAATTAACTTTTATTCTCAGATAGTTCCAGATAGCTGCCTGGTGCTTGAGATATGCATAAATATAAAGATTTAAACTTTAATAATTTAATGTATACAAATCTATTTTACTAAATGAAATGGGTATCATTTTAGTAGTTTTGGATTTTCCATCCCTATTTAATGTTAAAATTTCATTCCATATTTGGGAGCAGGAGATATTGTAACCTCAAAACCATTGGTTCTACTCCCAGAATCTTGGAATTTCAGAAGGATTTTATGGTAGGTGTCCAGATTTCTAAAATTCACTTGCCTTGGTCTGGGTCACATTTGGACAGCTGCATCACAGTAGTGTTTTTTAAGCTTTTTCGAGTATCACTAGTCATATTCCCTTCTCCGGGGAAAAGAAAGTAGGAAAGAAAATAGCATGCAAACTTTTTTTTTAATTATATACATTTAAAATTAATTTTTCAGCGACAGTTGTTTAGAATGTCAACATGCCCCTATTATTAACCCAAGCATCACAAAACTTGAGTTGACAATTCCTGCGCCAGAGCCACAGACCAGCATCTGAGAGAAGACTTTTTCATAACTGTGACAATATTAATAATATAAGTCTGAAGATCTACATTCACCAGAACTTCCTAAATGTAATCAGCACTACCGAAAGACTATTGGGGTAGTGTTTTTGAATAGTACCAGGTTCTGGTAACATGTCAAACTGAGTTTCACCAAAACACTTAGTAAGGTGTGAAAACGAAGAGGTAACTGCATGATGGAAGAGAGCTCTGACCACAAGGAATGGTAGGGTTTGCCAAGTTTGTGATCTCTCTGTATTTACAAGGGACGTGTGGAGCTCACAATTCTTCTGTTCTTCGAGTTCAGAGAATGCCTGCTGGGCCTTAGAATAAGATCGAATAGCTTTGGACAGTGTACTGAGAGCACCATGGCATTTGTATAATCAAGACGAGGAGAAACATTAAAAATATCTTTGAAATCTTAAGAAACAGGGGCTTCAAAAGGATCCAGGACTCTGTGACTTCTAAAACTGTATCTTAAGAAAGACTGCACCATTCCTTGCAGTGATATACAGATACTGAGTGATTTGTTTCCCAGGAATGTCATGTTTATCTAATTGTTGAGTTTGCAAATCCCTGCTTTTAGATCCAGCAGAGTGAGTCCAAGTCCCACTGAATCTCTAACGTGCCCTTCTAACTCCCCATGAAACCAGTGTAAATGATTTGTTTCCCAGGAATGTCATGTTTATCTAATTGTTGAGTTTGCAAATCCCTGCTTTTAGATCCAGCAGTGTGAGTCCAAGTCCCACTGAATCTCTAACGTGCCCTTCTAACTCCCCATGAAACCAGTGTAACCATAATGTATCCCATTAATAAGAGCTAATTAATAATCATTTTAAAGAATTAAGTCATTCACAATAATTTGTACACTTTCTTAACTGTTGTATCATACAACATGTTTCTGCTAAAAAATATTAGAATGTTACAGTACAATTGGCCATTTTCAATTCAGACCTATCATTCTTCATTTTGATCTGAATTAATATGAATCCTCTGTAATTGCCACATATATGAAACACTTCAATTAAACAAAAGCAAAAAATTCCTCTTTTTCTATCTTCAATATACTCCGCTGACCAAGGAAGTGGCATGTGTGTGCCCAAGTTTGAATAATGTGTGGTTTAGACACACCACAAAGAGGCAGTCAATTTCACACAGATGAAAATAGCAAATTCACATTATCTGCTTGTTAACTAACTGTGAGGGGCCGTGAAGCTAGCAGACAGATTCAGATTCACTCAGATGAGAAGGGGAAACATGAACTTTGTAAAGCCACATAGGAAGGAAACATACAGGAATCCTTCTGAGAGTTTTGCAAAGCTTTTTATGAGGAGGTGAGGGGACATTCACAGTCACAACACTTAAAGTCCAGTTCACTTAGAGCTCTGGGGACCTAGGCTAGGAGCCATAGCATGTGACAATTAGGAATCCAGGCTCAAAAATCCACCTGACCCGGGCCGGCCCGGTGGTGCACTGCGGCGGCGCTCCCGCCGAGGGTTCGGATCCCACATACAGACCGGTTCCCGCTCACTGGCTGAGCGAGGTGCGGGTGCAACACCGAGGTTTGCGATCCTGTTGCTGGTCCCGGTCCGGTACGGGCGCGACACTGAGGGTTGCG